CTGTGGATGTCACAGTCAGTTTGGGGGAGGTTTTATCTGGCTCCATCTTCCATTTAATGGCAGAAAAAAGTCTTCAACAAGGAGCCTTTGTAGAGCATGATCAATTTAGCAAGGTTAGGACTCGTTACAGAGAACCCTGCACACGTTTCCTGACGAGGTCAAACATAGACAGGCCCTAGGTGAAGAAACTAGTGCTTTCTGAGTTTTCTGTACAGATAAAAAAAAAATTTAAAAAGTAAGTGATTCTTCCTAACTCTGCAACATCCTTCATTTTACAAAGGGTTTGGCCCAGCTTTCCTTTAATAAGGCTTTTTTTTAATAAAAGCTCTCCTAGGGGTTTGCTGGGGTTTGTTTATAGGATACTCTTCTGGAAACAGAAAAACTAAAGCCTTGTGGAACCCAGGTGGAACCCAGAACCACCAATGATCAAAAGTCCACTAAGCGGTGGAACATGTTGTATCCCAAAGCATGGAGCCCGTACAATGATGTTTGCAAGATGACCTTCAGGAGCAGAACACTAAATAATACTTTAGGGCTTGAATTAGAGCAACAAACAAACATTAAATTTCTTGTTAAACTTGGCAAGAGTGGAAGTGAAATCAGGGACATGTTAGTCCAAGTTTATGGGGATAAAGCCATGAAGAAAATGGCAGTGTACAAATGGATTAAACATTTTTCTGAGGGGAGAGAACACGTCACTGATAAAGAGAGTTCAGGGCCACCAGTAACGAGCAGAACTGATGAAAACATTGCAAAAATTCATTGAATCATGCGTCAAAATCATCAGCTGATTGGGAAGCATAGCAGACCAAGTAAACATTGATAGAAAAAAAGGAAAATCTTAACTGAAAATCTTGGCATGAGAAAGGAGTGTGCAAAAAATAGTCCCGAAGGAGCTCACTGATGAACAAAAGCAAAAGGGAGTCGAAGTTTGCCAAGACCTTTTGGAAAGGCCAGCCGATGTTTTGGGCCATGTTATCAATGGTGATGAAACATGACCCTGAAACAAAGTGTCAAAGTGCGCAACGGAAGTCAGCCAATTCTCCATGACCAAAAAAAGTTCCGTCAGTCCAAATGAAGAGTCAAAATGGTGTTGCTAAGCTTTTTTGATATCAGAGGAATTAATCATTATGAATTTGTACCTACTAGACAAACAGTTAGTCAAGTTTACCATTTGGAAGTGCTGAACAGGCTGTGTGAAAAAGTTAGACAAAAATTATGTCAACTTTTCACCAACAATTAATGGCTCTTGCATCACAACAATGTACTATCTCATATGGCACTGCCTGTGAGGGAGTTTTTAGCCAGTAAACAAAAAACTGTATTGAAACACCCTCCCCATTCACCTGATCTGGCCCCCAATGACTTCTTTCTTTACCCGAAGATAAAAGAAATATTGAAAGGAAGACATTCAGGACATCAAGGGTAACAGCGACAGCTCTGATGGCCATTCCAGAAAGAGTTCCAAAATTGCTTTGAAAGGTGGACTAGGTGTTGGCGTCGATGCATAGCTTTCCAAGGGGAGTACTTCAAAGNNNNTTTCACCCTCACGCTCATATGGCAGGGCAGTGGGGGTGTTTGGCGTACTCAGCTACCTTGACTGCCTGCTGTTTCTGATCACGTAGCAATCCTAAAATTTAGCCTGACCAACCCAGGTCTGAAGGGTGATCCCACTGGTGGTCATTATGGGCAGCTGAGCAAATTAAGGATGGTGAGGGGCCATAGTGACTCATGGCAAAGCTGCTCATCCTATGACAACCACAGTGTAAATGTCACTTGCAGTGAGGCAACCGGAAGGAAACAGGTGGTGCATTTTGGTGGGGTGGGGGGTGCTGCTCACAGGGTTTCCAACAGCTCTCCACAATGACATCACGGGTTCTATTACTACAATCACAGGCCCCCTGGCATGATGTTACCTGGCATGGTCCGAAAGGTTTTCTAGGATTTTCACCCTCCCCAACCAGCAGGGTTTCTTCTTGGCCTGTGTACCCAAGTTCACAAAATAAAGAGCACTGTGTTTGTCCTCCAGCCACAGCTTTGAGCTGAGTGACAGGCTTTAAGATCACAGGCTTCTGTGCTGACAGTAAGGGGCTGAATGCTCCGCTGCGTGGGTCCTCTGTGGGTTTTGGTGGTATTATTTATTAATAAAAATGAATTATTTGCTATGTAGCATTCCATATAATAGCCCAAAATGGAAACAACCATTTGGATAAATAAAATACAGTATAACTATACAATGGACTATTATTCAGCCACAACAATGCACGAAGTACTGATACGTGCTAACAAATGAATAAACCGTGAAAACACACTCAGTGAAAGAAGCTAGACAAAAAAATAAAGACCACAAATTGTATGATCTCATTTATATGAAATGTCCACAATAGGCAAATCCAAAGAGATAAAATACAGTCACTAGTTGCCAGGGAATGAGGGAGGGGGAGCTGGGAGCAACTGCTAACAGGTATGGGGGTTCCTTTGGGGGAGATGGAAATGTTCTGGAATTAGATGACGGCCATAGCTGTACAACACTGTAAATATATTTAAGA